TAACCATATATTCACATATATATATATAGAATATATATTAGATACATATATATATATATACATATATATACATATATATATATATATACATATATATATATGTATATGTGCATATACATATACAGAATATATATTAGATATATATATATACATATATATGTGCATACGTGTATATATATACAGATATATATATATATATATATATTTAATGCATGCATAGAAAATGTATATAATAGAAGCATGCATCTCTTACGAGTGTATAAATCGAGATATATATATTACATATTATATACATTAAATATAAATATAAATATAAATATATATATATATATACATATATATATTTATTTATATAAGACTTCAATGCATAATGTAGATAATATATTTGTTTGCTTGTTTGTTTATTTGTTTGTTTCATCATACAGCCAGGCTCTAGCAAACCAGCAGCAGCAGCAGCAACAACAGCAACAGCAGCATCAAGAGCAGCAGAAGTAGCAGCAGCAGCAATAGCAAAAGTAGCGGCAGCAGCAGCAGCAGTAGCAGCAATAGCAGCTTATCGTCGTCGTCCAGCAGTAATGTGAGTAGTAATAGCAGCAGCATTATTAGCGGAAGCCAAACAGCAGCAGCAAGACGAGCAGCAGCGGCAAGACGAGCAGCAGCAGCAGCAAGACGAGCAGCAGCAGCAGCAGCAGGACCAGCAGCAGCAGCAGCAGCACGGATGCTGTGCAGCAGCGAAGAGTATAAGGCAAACAAATAAAGCAGGAAGCAAAATAAACACAAAGATAAATTAAAATATAATAAAAGAAATAGATTTATAATTAAATATAATTAAATATAATATAATTTTTACTCAAATAAACAACGAGAGCGCCTCGATAGTGGTGAAGCCCAGCCCAGACCGCTGCCGACCGCCGCGGCCCAAACCCTAAACCCTAAACCCTAAACCCTAAACCCTAAACCCTAGATCCTCAAATACACTTGAAGAATCTGAAGATTCCACCTTATTATTCAAATCTGTTTTATTGATATTAAACAATACTTCATAATATTCTAGGGTTTAGGGTTTAGGGTTTAGGGTTTAGGGTTTAGGCTGAGACCCCCAGGCCTTTTCTAGTTGTGCGTGTGTCTCTCTTGTTTGTGTGTATATATTTGTTTTTAATTGATTAATATTTCATAAATTGTTTTAATAAACATAAAGATAAGAATTTAATTAATTTAATCGCAGCAACATGTCAAAGACCGCAGAACCACTTGCTGCTCTAACCCCAGGCTGCATATACACCGCAGCAACGCTGCAGGGTTTGAAGGACCCCTTAGCTTCTCAGATAGAAGAGAGAAGCTCTTCTCAATATCTTTTAAACTGCGGTGTACTTCAAGCTCATTTACAGTCGTCTAGACTCGCTGGCTGCAGCAGCAGCAGCAGAAGCAGCAACAGCAGCAACAACAGCAACAACAGCAGCAGAAGGGGCTCCCTTCGTGCAGCAGCTTCCTCACTGCACAGCTCTACTGAAAGTGTCTGGGGATCAGCTTCGGACAGCAGCAGCTCGCTGCAGCAGCAGCAGCAGCGGCTGCAGCAGCAGCAGCAGCAGCAGCAGCAGCGGGCTGCATGGCAGCGACAACAGCTTGATGAAGAAATAAAAGCAGCAGATATTGCTGCAGCGTGGAGCAGCAGCATCGATATAACTCGTAAACTTGAGCTGTACAGACATCAGCAAACAATACAGCCTAGGGCTCCTCCTAACGCTGCACTTCGACAGCCAACAGACTCACGTGCAGCAGCAACAGCAGCAACAGCAGCAACAGCAGCAGCAGCAACAGCAGCAGGAAGAAGAGGCGATGAAGCCCCTTCTTTGCGAGCGACTTTAGTGTTAAACCCGCAGCTTCGTGAGCTGCAGCTGCGGGAAGAGACAGCAGCAGAAGCAGCAGCAGCAGAAGCAGCAGCAGCAGCAGAAGCAGCAGCTCGAATAAGAAGGGGGCAGCAAGTTGACGAGTACAATCCAAGCGCAGCAGCAGCATCATCAGCAGGACAACAGCATCAGCAGCAGCAACAGCAGCAGCAGAAGCAGCAGCAGCAGCAGCAGCTATGTCTCCTCTGGGAGGCGTATCAGCGCAGCTGTACAGACAGCTCAGGCTGGCT